GGGTTCGATCATCTGCCGGCGCGCACCCGATATCTATGGTCAGCCTGCAAAATTTGGGCTACCGATATCACATGCTGAAAATTCCATACTTGTACCAAAAATACGGTGTGGTTTCAAGCTATAATCAAAAAAGATGACTGGTTATCAAGAAGGAGCAATGAAAGCTTATGGGAACGAGCTAACCACGAACCCAATGTTCAGCAAATATGTCAGAGAAGATGAAGATGGATAGAACACACACTTAGGATACTTTGGCTGACATCACGTGCCATCCAGGCCATAGCTGGAGTAGGCGCGAATGAACAATGAGGAGTGAGTCATTCAAAGGTGACAAGAAGGAGATCGTGCGAGTAAGAGGTGGGAGACGATAGGGAATCGTGAAGCCAGCTAAAGAGTCCTGCAAAATAACAGAACAAAAGTTGTAACACTAAGTTCCACTCGGAACCCAAGGGAACAGTAATAGCCACCCAGTTTATATATATATATATAATGTGTTAATTGACAATGATTTAATTTGGATAAATTGACAATTTTGGAATGTGAAATTGAGTAGTTAATGAAATTTAAAGAGGGGAAATCAATCAACGAGGCTGTGAAGTTACATAGACTGAGATGGTTAGAACATGTGTTACGCATGCCTAGCCATCATCTTCCTCGATGGGCAATGTTAGCTGACATAGGGTCAGGTTGGAAAAGAGCCAGTGGTGGTCAAACGAAAACATGGCACCAGTCAATGAAATCCACAACAGTTAGTTTAAGCCACGTAGGAAGCAGTAGACTTCCTGGTTGGGGTCCCCGGGACGCTAGAAACCAACGGCTGGAGAAAATTAGTGATATGGCTCAACATTGTTCTCAATGGCGCAGATGCATCCACTGCTTGTGACTTATAATTTCCAATGAAACTATATTGTTCTTTGTTATTACTATTCCTTTGTCTCATATCCCTGTCTAATGTCTCTATTATGCATTTCTTCTACTTTCTTCCCTTGATTTTTGTGCTACATGGAGTGTGGCGACTTGAACTGCTGCACATCGGTGCAAAGTATCTGCATCACATCTGTCTTTTTTGTATTCACTTGAAGTTCAGTTTATTCGGCGAATAAGAGGAAATATTCGAAAAGGAATATTCTTTATTCACTAATCTACATTTTATTTTAATTTCTTACTGCTCGTCTTTATTCAATTAAAATGTTTTAAAGTTGTCTATATCGATGGTTTTGTACAAGTGAATTATGTGTTTTGTGCCGTTTACACTGATATTATGCACGAAAATGGCTTAACCTTGACTATTGGATATTGAGTGTAATTATTTTAAATTGAATCTTTACAGAATTTCCTCGATAATCATGGTGGGCGAACAGGAGGTTGGACAGAAGAAGAACATTCCAAGTTTTTAAAACAGCTCAAAGTATATCAACTCCAAAAAGTTCAAAATAAAAAGTTGACAAGTGAACATAATGTAAGCGCTGCAGTTAAACAGACTGAGGATGGAAGTGCATTGCAAACTGATGAGGCGAAAACAATAAAGGACAATAGTGAAGATGATTGCATGTCTGATTTTCATCATCATCTAGCCAACCTGTTGATGACAAAGACACCAGAAGAAGTGGCTAAACATGTAAAATGGTGGGAAGAATACCAGAAACTTGAAGTTGGTAAACGTAAAGCTATACAAAAATGGAATGAAAATCGGGTGAGTATTTTGGCAGATTTCTTTGTTATTTATATTTATGTTTCTGCGAGTGTGTTGAGTCGCCATGGGGCCTCCTCTAGGACCTCGTCTAAGGGGTGTCTCCATGGCGAATTTAGAGAAAGGTCCATTATCTCACGTTTGTATTCATTTTCATAAGATATATACATATATATAGACGACACTTTTGTTAATTATAATGAAAACTGTTCAACTGTTGACCCTACCAATGAGAGCCTAATGGATCTCACATATCTGTCTTTTTCACTGTCGAAGAAGGTCCATATTCCACATTTCCCTTCTTAGTTGTTACGCTAGATAGGAGAGATTTCACATTGAAAAGATCAATATAGTGAAAGCCAGCATTTACAGGGCAGTACACTAACATTAACAGTGGGATACCTCTACGTAGAAAGACAAATCTTATATATTCTCTATATCTCGAAATTTGGAAATTTTTTTCTATAGATACGGTTAAAAAGTAACTGGAAAACCTTCGTACAACATTCTTGATTGAATTGTAATGTCAGAGAATACGCTGTTTATGATTTTGGCATTAAAAGGTGATACTCTTGGTGAAGTGATGAAGTCATCTATTCAAGAGTATTGAACTCTTTTATTATGCCGTTGATTTACACACACACCTAATATTCTCCAGCTAAAATATGAGTTGACAAAACGTGAAGATTAAACTACTGCTTATTACATCCACCTCAGCTAAGAGCATCTACTCTTTCGCATGCTCCTGTGAAGCTGATTACAGTGTGAACGTTGTAAGCGTGTGGTCCACAGGGGTCCATAGCTAAGAACAATAACTTTTTGTGTTTCTCAATATGTCGAGAATAAAATAGGAATACCGAATGAGAAACAGTCGCGTTGATCGCGACTATCGCCTGACTACTCCAACAACATTTACCAACAGGCAGCTGGCTACCTGTTTCCCCGACCTGCACTACTTCAACAAGAACACACAACGACGTGGACTAAAAACTGTATTTTATGCAATAAAGTATGGTGTAAAATATCATCAAAGATATATTAGTTACATGCAATGATTCCCTTTTATAAATTTGAACAAAGAAAGAAGAAACATTGGCGCAGAATAATCTGGATCCATTTTATTTCGTCGGTTCTCATCAGCTGCGTACAACCTGAATTCTTTAACAAAATAGAAAATGTACAATTTTAACAAATTTTGTTCATCAGCAAGCATATTGTCACAGCGTCATAGTGAAATAAGGCGTTGCGATTTACAAGGTGTCTAAAGTGTCACGACATATATATATCTTGTTAGAGAAAAGTTTCTTGAAAAAATTAATTAACAGTTGTGTTGTTGGGCTGGTAACAAAAGAAAATTAGTAATAATTACGTAATTAGGTAAGAGAAGATCAAAATTTCGGTGCACATGAGGTCAGATGAGAAGTTGATGATGTAATGCACTGAGCAGAACTCAGAAGATCACGAAAAACTACCTCTTAAGAGAGTCAAGCGAAAAATAAAGGGGTGGGGTGAGTGAAAAGATAAGTTAATGAATTTAGAAAACAAAGAGTTACTAAGAAGTGAATCATTAGGGTGATTGAAGTTCAACAACGGATTCTTTTTGGACACATAAGTCAGGCTTCAATCAGGCTTCTTTTTCGGACAATAAATTACGTAATATAAAGAGAGTTAATCAGGTAGAAACTGAAATTCAATTGAATAAGTAAATTTAGTAATGTATCATAATTGACGGGATTGAGTAGATAAGTTCAACTAAAATTGGATGAGAGTCAATTTAACAACAGTGGTAACAAGGCGTAGAAATTTATTAGCACTAGGGTGAGGACAGACCGTAATAGCATTAAAAAGTAAAAAGCAAAGCCCTACACACTTACATTTGAAAAACTAAAATTCAAAAGAACTATAATGAGCATAAGAGTAAAGGAGAAAAAACAGTAACATGAATTTAAGAGATAACATAATGAGTGAATGCATATATGCTACTGAAAACGATTTTGAACCATATCATTAACAATCTTCAGCTGTCATTAGTTTTTGGCACTCCGAAGTGCCCAGTCAGACAGACAATATACGCCTCCATAAGTGTTAACGATTGATTGTTTGACCCCTTTCCCCTTCGCCCCATCTTTAACCCTTTTCCATCTCCGTCCTATGTGTCAGCTAAGATTGCTCATTGAGAAAGGCGTGGAGGCTTGAGAAATGTAATACATGTGTCTAAGACATCTGAACTGATGTATTTTCATTCAGTAACCTTGTAAAATACTTCATAGATGGCAGTGTAACTTATAGTAATTTGAAACTGAACTGCATTGGACTGAAATTTCAATGTAGAACTGACTTTACACAAAAATGTAATACGACGCACAAACTGAGTTCGCATACCAAACAGAAAAAATTAATTATTTTTCATCTCTATATGTCCTGCTACCAATAAGGCAAAATGAGAGCATTAAGCAGGGTATTTTCTGGAAAAAATTGTGTGTTGACCATCACGCCCATTCCAAGTCGTTTGTTCCTCCTGCATACAAGCAAAATCTCATCAAGTTACCTGATAATGATAATTTATGTCCAATATCATGCAAACCCGAAGATCTACAAGGGATAGCCAACACACTGGTCTTCACAAATATGAGAGATGTGATGAAGATATCTGGTGACCAACAACAAAAGGCACATACCACCGTAAATGGGAGAGGTCTATATGAAGTCATTTTTCCCGCTTACCACCACAGCAGCAGCAACATTTCAACTACAAGTGGTGTCACAGACGAGGATGCCCAATTCAGCCAGGATTGGATAGAAAAAGGGAAAAACAGGCGTTCATTAATATGAAATCAGTGTGGAAATCTATTACACTGTACAGAAGGAACCAGACTGAGATATTTAACACTGATATGAAATCAGTCAATGCTTCTGTACTGATGAGAAACTAGTCGACCGACTAAGAATCTATAACCCAACGGAGAAATATGCAGATGAAAGTACAGATGGGCTGGACATACGCCGAGGACAGCGTTGAGTGAAATCACGGTGCCGGACACATCCTCGAGTCAAACGCGCATGGGGAACCACGACTTGAGAGTGAGCTCAACGGTTTCACGGAGGAGAACAGAGTAAATTAATCCTTATGGGCAATCATAGAATCAAGCAAAAATGACTGCAGACAAATCAGTGATACTGCGATGTGCCTCAGCAGAATCTGTATGTTCCACTCGAAACCCAAGGGAGTAATAATAATATCACCCTAACCGATAGATAAAATTTAAAAGCTCTGTCAAGGTGTACATACATTTCTTATTCTTTCTTAATCGCTGAAGCAACCTGAAAGTACGTCTGTTTGGGGTTGTCATCGAATCTCCTTTTTAACTTCAAAAGCGTATATGAGAGTTGCTGCAGTCGAGTGTTCATATGGTTAAATCTCAATTTGTTATGAATATGATGAACATTCGGGTTCACCAAGGTGTATTAATATCTGTGAAATTGTACCACTGTGTCTCTGTGATAAACAGGTGGCGACAAAAACTCGTTTTATCTTGACAGAAAATTGGTCACCGTTAACTGACACATGACCTCTCCATTATTACTATTACTGATCATCATTGCCACTATTAATATGACCTTTACTCCTATCTGCGTAGTATTCTATGTGACAAGTTAAGACGTATTTACAATAATATTTAGTGAGTATCTAAAAATGCTGGTAGTATTTTGGTGAATGCAACGATTAACATCTGTTTGTGTTCTATGAAATAGTTGATGATTTAATTGCGACGCTTCACTTTTTCCTCTAGACGGCATCTCTTCGGCACATGTTTAAATATAAAGTAAACTTGTTTGAATTTCTTCTCCATGACTGATGATATAGCTGTAGCTCATGATAACAATTCTTGTGACTGGTTGTCAATCTACAATTATCATTCCTTTTAGTGACTTAGAATTAAAGCTTTCTTGTCATATGATTCTTAACTGCGTGGTAAATTTGAACTGCGGTAATGTATTTGTCAGTCGCTGATATTCGTTTGAGTACCAGGATTCTCGTAATTCCTCGACTTCATTTTTAGTGTTCCCAATGTTTAAAATTTCTACATTCTCTCAATCTAAAATGTTGTGACGCAGTGATACTTACTGATTTTGCGGTTATTCTCTATCTTGACTACAATGCGCCTCCAGACTACTCATCACTTTATTCGGAAAAATTCCCCATCACATCGACATTGACGACGCAGAAGTCAGACTCAACTGCCAGAACCACGATGACGACAAAGACAACAACCTTTATTATTCACAATACAGAGTATATCTATCGGTCACACATCAACACAAATTTACACCATATATCAATGATCAATATCTGACTGGTTGCGGCTAACAGTGATGGATACTGTGTCCTTAAAACCCTGCTTTCTATTAGATTCTCAATTACAGGTCCACTGGGAGATGTTTCTAGGTCTGAGTACACTCTGTCTATGAAACCTCTCCCACCTCCACAAATACTGTGGGACACTTGCTTCGTGCACAGTTGACTCTAACAGGAAAAGTAAAGAAGTCGTCACATTGTTCCTCGGATAGAATTAAGCATTTCTAATGAATATTGAATACCACTGCATGCTGTCCAAACATTTTACGAAGAATTTGCATTGCTCCATTGAAATCAGTGTCAGGAGGAAGTATTTCCGAAAATGATGGTTTCATCAATCAAATCAATACTGAATAGATCGAAATCATGACGATTGATGAGATAGGCTAAATCTTAAACATTCTGTGAAATGAATTGAACATCAGAAGAGATTTCACTGGTTGAGTTCAAGATATCTGCACTAGGCATTTTCAGCAACATGGTACGTACCGCGTAGTGGAGATGATTTTTGCTTCTCTTCTGAAATGACAGAAACTGGAGTGAAAATGTCTGCAAGAATGGCAATTACTCTGTCCTGACAAAACTGGTGTCCATGACTGTCGATGTGCATATCGTTGTGAAAGAATACATGTAGTGTCATATCACA